CAGACTTCATCTGCTGAGGAGACTGAAAGCTCCGGAACAGCTACTAAATGGACCCTGTGGTGAGTGTGTTTGGTCAAGAATGAACTTTAAACCTTCAACCAGGTTTGAAGTTTTAGATCCATCTCATGTGAAACAACATTTAAAGTAATAATTTAACACAGACACTCTGTTCATGTTTGTGTGTGTGAGTTTTTATCCTTCACAACGTCAAACTATAAAGTTCTTGTGTTAAAGTGGACTGACTGTGAGGTTCCGTCTTTACTGAGGGTCAGTGAACGCCTCATCAGTCAGATTTCTGGCGGATCTGAGGCAGTCCATGCAGGTAACACAGTTCAGGTGTGTCATCTGCACGTGGAACCTCGGCCGGTGCGTCCCGGTCGGTCCGCTGCAGAGCTTCAGCTCCCCCCCAAATATCTGCACCGACAGCACTTTCCCTCCCCGCCACACTCTCGTGCACGGCCGTCAGAAAGTCCACGCGGGGGGACAGAGCCATGTGCAGCGGCCGTAAATCAGCAGCAGCCGCCGGTGCACCGACTCCGCTCCGCTGAGCGCCCCGTCCGGGAGGGAGGGAGGGAGGGAGGGAGGGAGCGCTCCCCGCCGCCTGCAGCACGATGCACGCAGCGCCGCAGGGCTGTAGCGGATCCCCGGGCTGATCCGCGGTGCTGCTGTACCGGGTCACACCGAGCTGAACCGGGTTATGTGGATCCAGCGGGACAGGAAGAAGGAGAGGAGGAGGAGGAGGAGCTGCGGAGATAAACAAACAACTGAACTGATGCAACTTCTGTAAAGTCTGTGACCCAATCCGAGCCGAGCCGAGCCGAGACTGCAGACTGTGTCCTCTCTGGATTATTACTGCTCTCAGACTGTTTCTAGTTTTCCTCTTCAGACCTCAGAGAGACTCCGCCGCCGGACATGACGCATCCAGACTAAAGTTTCACCTGCACTCAGTGTTTGTAATGGTGCGCAAGTATCAGTCTTTCTAACTCTGACACTTGATCATGTGTGTCTGCCGATGCATTCATCTATAATCTATCATCTATAATCTATAATCTATCATCTATCATCTATAATCTATATCTACTCACAGAGTGTGGTCAGTGTGTGTTTTTGCCCCCAGAGAAATGTCTTATTATTATCATTATTATTGATATTATTAATATTAGTTGTTGTGACAGTTAATGGGAATGCAGTCAACAAGCGCGTTCTCGTATGCGCGTACATGACGTCTCTTACCTTAATTTGTCGTCCAATCAGAAGCAGCTCTGCACGTTCAAACGCCTCCGTTTCGTCCAATTAAAAGGCGGTTCGAGCGCACAGCTGTGACGTACCCGCTCCTGATTGGCTCTGCTGATGAAGTAGGTGGAGAGGATCATATTCACTGAAGTGTGTGTGTGTGTGTGTGTGTGTGTGTGTGTGATTAAGTTTATAGTGACTTTATTGTGTTTTATGATCTCTTATCTCATCACTTTGATACTAACAGCTACTAAACTGAGTTTAAAGAGATTTAATTGTACATTCTTGTCAATATAATATCAATTTAGTATTTAATAATACTGTAATATAACGTGTAATTTAATTCACTATAACACTGTAAAATTCCCACAGTGTCTGTGGTGCACAATGAGGAGTTTGTTATCTCCCTTGTGTCGTTATTATACATTTATTTATTCACTTTATATCTTTAATTCTGACTTTAAACTACATGTAATTTATAAATATTTGGATTTTAAAGCCCCAACTTCATTTATTGTGGTTTTTTTTTTGCACTTTCTCACACTATAATCACCCATTATAAGGATATAACATCCCCAGAGTGTCCCTGTCTGTCTGTACTGTCCACTGTCTTATCTCTGACAATATTCCTAATATCTCTGTGATCCCTCGTGTGTCAGTTCTGTCTGTTCACACTGACTTTATTACACTAATGAGGTTTTATCTCAAAGCAACATCCCTGTGGGGATTTAAAACATCTCCATTGTACTTATTAGTCAGTTTATTTAACTTTATTACATTTTTATCTCCCAAATATCAATATCTTCCCTGAGAGGACTTAATGTGTGTGTGTGTGTGTGTGTGTGTGTGTGTGTGTGTGTGTGTGTGGTGCTCAGAGGGAATTTAATGGTAGTTTAATGTCTCCTGATTTTCCTTTAATCGTGCTGTGATGTTTCAGAGTGCGTCTGCGGTCACTTTATAACGATTGTGGTGTTTTATGTGTGTAATCTATTGTTCTTCCCTTTGTGGAGCGTAACAGTGACTTTATTGTGGTGTCTCCACCTCCTGTGGTTTCTCCACAGTGTCGAACATTCATATCTGCGTATCCAGTTTCACAGTGCGTCTGTGGTTCTTGGAGGTGATTTATGTTTCTGTTTGTGGAGTTTGATCTCCTCTTGTATCATCTTTAATGGTCCTATAGGGACACACACAGTGTCTGTGGCTTTATAGAAGCTTGACTGGGTTTTTATGGTAACTTCTGTGGTATCTCTACAGACTAATATTCCTCTTATGTTCCTGTAAAGACTTTTATGGTGTGTCTGTGCTTCTCAGGTGAGACTTTAGGGCTCTTTATAGCGTTTTAAAATCTCTCAGACATCCCATATTTTGTGATATCTCTGTAGAGGTGAAGCATCTAAAAGGCCCTGACCGTCCAGCAGCGTCTCAGTTTGGGATTTTTCAATTATAAAAGTTCCAAACATTTAATTTATTCATGTGTTTCAGTGTAGGTAGTGTGGTACTGGGTTTGTCTGGTGCTTCTTTCTGCCTGTTTTACTGTAAGCTGTGTGGGTGTGATGTAGGGGGCGCTGTTAACTGACTCCAGTTCAGTTCATGAGTTTGAACACCTGCAGAGAACAGTGGAGCCTCACTGCGATCACACAAACATCCGACACATTCACATGCAAAGCTGTGACGGGACGAAACGCACATTTTTATTTTTCCGCCACCACATTTCAGAAATATTTATCCTTCTTTCTCCACCACAAACATGAGTACATGTACTTATCTTTTATTATGAGACTGCATACACTGTTTGGCAGGAATGAAAGAACTCCAAGCTGCAGAATTAATACCTCTGATGCTTCAGTAATATTTCTGTCCTTTACATCTAAAGTGAATCTTCCACCTTTACTCAAGTATTTTGACGTCTTTTCCTCCAGTCAACAGGTGGAAACACTTCGCTCTGGTGCTCGCTCTGTGTGCACCACTCAAGATCAAGTTCAGAAATTTGCTGTCCCTCAAAATTTTATTTAAAAAAAAGGCACAGTTGAGATGAAATACTGTTTAAAAACATCGAGGCAAAACCAGAAAATCTCTAAGTGTACAGATGCATCAACACCAGGAGGTAAAACAGAGTAAAATAATAAAACATAGGTGGGAAAATCGATACAGCGGAGTATCCTGATATTTTTGTGTCGTATCATATTGATTTTGTTACTAAACTAATTATTAATATCAAAAATACAAGTGAAACTTTCGGTAGCCTTCGAGAATAATGTCATCAGTTGCTTTTTCAGTTCACTAGAAAAATGTTGCTGCAATAAAACTGAAGTGAGACTGAAACCTTATTAAACAAAACTGTTGACAAAGTTTCCCTTTGGGGACAAAATGTGTAGTTGAGCAAAGGGTAACATGTTGCAGTGTATTTTACTGCAGTGCACTGTAAACCTCAGTTTGTTCACCCAACGGAAACATTTCTTTGGAACAGTTTGCACTAAAACAGACGCAAAATAAATGTGTCATGTGACTGTTGTCTGACAGGAAGTTTATGTCAGTTTAACGTAACTTTTTGTTGTGGTTGTTTGAGAATTTAATTCTGTGTCATATGAACGTAAACACAGTGAGCACTCATTTCACAACAACTTGTTATTAATTTCATTGAACTATGAAAATATATAGTGGTGAGCTAAAGTTTTTGAAACCCAAGAATAAGGCAAAGCGTTTAATTCAGAACACATAATACAAGTTTATGTCAAGTATCGTCGTGGCCACGCAGGCGGGACGTCACTAACTGTGAAAACGACCACAACATTGGTCACACCTGTAACTCATCAGAACCACTGTGAAACAGAAACATGAATCACTTTAATGCGTAGCGGGTAACGTGAGTGATTTACAACACATTTAAACACAGCTTTCTTAAACGGCATGCTGGGAAACTCCACAGATGTAGCCCCGAAATGCCACACCATGTTAAAGTGCACGATGACAGTGATGTTTATTGGCCTTAAACTAATCAGGCAAAATCAGCTTTACACATTTTAGTCCAAAATTGTTGACTTAACATAAAAAATGATGTCGTGCTCACAAGAGATGAGATTTTGTGTCACACGAACATAAAGTTTTTATGTCACTCTGACAATGTGGGGCATTTGTGTTGACTCTACATTAACATTCTGTGTCACAGATGGATCACAGTGTATCGCAACATGTTTAGAATCACAGTGACATTGTATCATGACTCAAGTACGTGATAATATGTTGGAGCCTCTAATGATTGCCACCCCTGCTGTCTGTGAGAGGTCAGGAGGTCACGTGCTGCACCTTTATATAAGACTGAGCTGATTGGCAATATCTCAACACTGATATTATGTAAGTGTGTGTGAGTGTTATGTAAATCAGATTTCTGCTCCAGCAGCCTCAGAAAATATTAATAATAATAATAATATTGATATTAATAGTAATAATTGACGGGTTCGTGTGTGGGAGGCTTGTGATCAGAGTGTGTCGGAGCAGTGAGTGGATCCTGTCAGATCTCCTCCTCTGACTGTCAGCTCCTGATCGACTTCACACTGAAGCGGCTGCTGGTGCGTTTTAGCGCAGCTCGGAGATTCAGCGGCTTTGTGGTGGTTTAAAAGTGCCGTTTGGACACAAAATATACAGCACCGGGTTACAGGCTGTTCTCTCTCTGTCTCCCACACACACACACACACACACACACACACACCGGGACAGGAAAGAGAAAAAAGCCTGTGGAGTGAGTGAGGCTGAGAGGGAGCGGAGCTGCAGAGCTGCAGGCTGGACTTGGACTTGATTTAGCGCAGGGGGGAGGAGAGGAGGAGAGGAGGAGAGGAGAGGCGGCCAGCCGGAGAGTTACGATCCTAAACTTGTGCAGAGACACGCAGGACTGTGGCGGAGCCGCGGAGACACAACTTCATTTGATCCCACACAAAGTGGCTTTCTGCTGCACGCGCGCGCTCTGCTGCTGGATTTATTCCACTTTCGCCTCCTTAATGCGTAAAACTATAAAACCCATGTGTTGTTTCCGCTGCACACCGGAGCCCGTTAAGTTTTTATGAACGCAGTGAAAACACTTCGTCAGAAGATCCGAGCTGCGGAGAAATGTCCACCCCGTGCAGTCTAATCAATCCCGATCGATAAGCTCACAGACTGATCAGTTTCATCTCACTGTTCTCCTGAGCGGCGGGATCCCGGAGCACAGAGGAACTCTGCTGCACACACACACAGTCACACACACAGTCACAGTTACACACACACACACACACGCGCGCGCGCACAGCAGCGGCATCACCGGATTCTACTTGTGAAACTGCGCGAGGAGGATCGATGGCTTCTCTTTGTGATCAATAAGCAGAGTGTGTGATCAGTTGGGGCTCTGCAGGGTCAGTGCACACAGTCCGCGGCCGCACACACACCGACGCAGTCTGGCGGCGGAGCGAGCGGAGGTCCCGGAGCTCTGAGCAGCAGCAGACAGGCAGAGGAGCGGAGAGGAGGTGGCGCTCCTCTCTGCGTCCGGGACAGCACACCGACTCTCTCTCTCCCCTCTCTCTGCTTCACCGTGTCCTCCCGCTGGAGATAAATTAACGGAAAGCAGCTGTCGGTTGTTTTAGAGGCGAGGCGGCCGTCTGGCAGCTCAGGGATCCCGTGTTGCCTTTTTCTTTCTTCCTCGTCAGATCTCTTTTCCCGGGACTCCGCCGACACCGCTGCTGCTGCTGCTGCTGCTGCTGCACCGCGCCCTCCGTCCCGAGCACCGAGGAGCCGCACCGCCGCACGCCGGCCACAGCGCACCGCAGGACGGATAGACATGTTGCCGAGGTCCGCCGGTCGCCGCGGATCCCCGGCGGTTTGAGATGCAGTTTCGGGACGTTTTGGAGATTTGCACCGTCCACCAGCACCGGCCGCTCTCGCCTCGCCCCCCCGGCACCGACACCACACCGGGCTGCCCTGTGATTCTTCTTCTTCTTTTTTAATTTTCAGTTTTTCTAACGGGACTTTTTCTCTTGTTGCTGGAGATGTTCTTCGTGTCTGGGCTGAAAGTTGTGCGCTCCCCGGCGGAGGGCCTCTAACAGGTCCGGACAGTACATGTAACCCGAGGCGGGGTCAAAGTTCAGCCCTGGTTGGAAATGTGAAAGCGAAGGGGGCAAAAGGAGGGCTCTATTTCCCCCTCTCTCACTCTCACTCCTTCTTTTTTTCTGTTCTTTCCTTTTTTTTCTCCACACATACACTACACACTGCGCACACGCACGCGCACACACACAGGCTGGAGTTACAGTAACCCCCCCACACACACATAAACACACACACACCTTCCAGATCTAAGATTAGATCCGACAGATATGTATTCTCCGCTATGTTTAACACAGGTGAGTGAGCTTTCAAACTTTTTCCAGTGTGTTTAACAGTGTTTGTTTGCAGCTCTCCTATAGCCTCTGACTGTATGGACTCTATAGACTGCTCCTATAGTCTGCACACTGCAACTCTTCTCTCACTTCAACTGTCGTCTTCCTCTCCGCGGCAGCACATGGCGGACAGGCTCCTTCATTTAATTATTTAGCACCGAGCATTAATTCCTGTCTTTACGCACTTTTTGTTGGCAACTTTCCCCGCACATTCTGCGTGTGTCCGAGTTGTTTGTGGAGGTTTGAGCAGCTGCTTGTGTCTGTGTCTCCGCGGGCTGCACGCACACTCTGTCCCGGCTGCTGCTCTGACTGAAGCCCCGCTCGGGCTCCCGCTGCCCGGCCAGCCTGCCCAGTTTAGGGGGCTGTCGGTGTTCTTGCTGGAGGGTTCCCTCGTAACCTCCCTGTGAAGGTTTTTTGAAGCTATAATTTGCGCTAAACCCGGACGCGTAAAGGTGCTGCTTATTTCTGTTTTCTTTACCTCCAAACTTTCCAACTCCACTCGCCGACATGCTCTGGCTTTAGCTGCACTGAGACATGCAACGGAAAAGATTTTCATTTTCACAGCCGCGGCAGTTTATGACACGCTGTTTCTGTTCTCCGTGAGCCAAACAGGCTTCATATTTGCGCAGAAATGAGAGTTTGTGTGTGCTGGCGCAGGGTCAGAGCAGCCGGGGATGGTGGAGGGGTTTGTCAGCTGCCGGGTCTCAGTCCCTCTTTTCGGCTGCTTGTGTTGAACACTGCAGGTTGATCCTGGTCTGTAAAAATCAAAGTGGATTTGATCATTAATTGTTTCCTTCCTGCTGCTGCTCAGGCCTCACAGAGGAACCTCAGGCCCGACACAAATATGTGTCCCTGCAGAAAAACAAAGCAAAGTGTTTGTGTCAGAGGTGAGCTGAGGTGACACAGCAGACCTGCAGCAAGCAGAAAACATCACCAACAAAATGTTATTTAAACCCACACGTGACAAACTGACGACCAAATGACGACCAGATTCATTTCCACTCCAAATCCTGAATTTAAATAAAACCATTTTGCATATTTCTCCACCAGAAACTTAAATTTGACCTAATTTTCCTCTTTAAAAAAAATATCCCCTTTTCTGCCATAGTGTTGTGTTCAGGGTCAGAGGTTAAAAAAGGATTTAAGAGCTTTTTTTGGGTGTGACCTCATGGAGATTCTGGCTGCAGATTTTGGCTGCCTCTTGCAGGAATTATCGTCTTAATCTCCTGAAATTAACCACAGCAAATAGACACAAATAGAATTTCAAACTGAAGAAATCACACAGATTTATATTTTAATATTTTAATTTCAAGATCTGACACACACTCAGTCTTTAATACACAAATTATTTAAAATGCATTTCATGCCAGGACTGGATTTGAAATGAAATTAGATGTCATATTTTATTATTAATAGCTGAAGCACATTTCTTCATAAACAAAATAATTCATTGATATTTAATTGTAAGCATTTCTAAATGAGTGGATTTATTGATCCTGGCTGTGAATTAAGAGAATATTCAGTGAGACAGTGAAAGGAGATGATTGAGTGGGATCCGCTCTGGAACCTGCAGCTGTGTTGAGTTTATTTTACATCTTCTTTTTCTGACTTGTCTAATTTTTGCTGCAGCTTTTGTTTGAAGCCAAAATTTCTCCACAAAACTGATTTGTCATCTTGATTTTCTGGTTGGAGCTTCAGTGTGTTGTGAGGCGCGTTTGAAGACGATGTGAAGCTGCTGCAGGAACGAACACGAGCTTTAACGTTTAATCTGATTATCAGCCAGTAAAACCAATAATCAGCAGACGGAGTCGCTTTTATAAATCCAGCTCAGTGAAGGGCAGAAAAAATGTTTGAGTTCAACAGATTTTTTTTTTTTTTTTTTTACTGGTTTGAAAAAATCTTATTAAGCAAATGTTTTTTTCCTTTTTGCTTATTGTTTTAATTTTTAATAGTTGCTTTTTTAAAATTAACCTCTGATATTTCTGATTATTTTCAACCATTGAATAGAAGTGTGTGTGTGTGTGTGTGTGTGTGAGAGAGAGAGACAAGCTGCTCAGTGAGGCTGTTTATCCATCCTCAAACAATCCAACCTGCCAGGACCAAACACTGTATTTTTACTTGGCATCATGAAGCCCAAATTTAATATAAATACATATATTTCTGAGTTCATATTTGCCCAAACTGCTGTTTCCTTTGAAAAACCTTCGATAGGTTAAACTTGAATTTGTATTTCCTATTTAAAAAAAACACAATAACACAGTATGAGGTGTAAACATTGGAGAGTTTCCTGCTGAGCTGCCAGATTCAAAGAAAATCAAAATCAGAAACGTTCCGTGTCAGTTAAGTGTGCGTCTGCGTTGTGCCCCTCAGCCAGCAGGGGGCGTCCTCAAATGAAATTTTAATAATTTAATTTTTTTAAAGACGTTTTTATTTATCCAAGCCTTCGGCACTTTTGGGGATTTTGTAGCAAACTTTAGGATTATCGCAGTTTCGTGGGCGACATAGGGGCATGTGTGATGCTGACGAACTCAGCAGACGTTATTTAAGTTTTCTCATGTTAGTTTGTAGTTGGCTTCTATTTTTTTGGCATTTGATTGTGTGATAAATAGACTAGATCTTTGGTTTCGTGGTCACAGAAGCAGAAGTAGAAACGAAGAAGAAAAACAGACGAATAAAGAAATAAAAGCAGGCAGGAAATCTAAACAGGCACTTTGTCGATTTGTCCAAAAAAGATCCCACAGCGAGAGTTCGTCTTCTGAACTACATTTTAATCTACGGAGAAATGAGTTTAATAAACATAAATCAGGAGTCAGAGGAGACGCTGGACTAAGAAATGTCTCTTATCACATGTAGAAAGGTTCCAACTTCTGTTTCCTGCACAAATGATCCTTCACGTCATTTGTGTGTCACAGAGTCCTGATGGATGATGTCTGTGTGACAGCTTATATTATTGAGCTTATTTACAATTAATGTTGAGCCATTTCTTTAGTTAGTTAGTTGTTTTTGGGAGGGTTGCTGAGGGCGATGAGATCCTCTGATTGGTTCTCAGATTTCAGTGACTTCTCCTGAAATGATATTTGGCAGAATCTGGTGTGTGTGTGTGTGTGTGTGTGTGTGTGTGTGTGTGTGTGTGTGTGTGCAGGCACAGTTTGTATAAATCTCCCTCCTCTGTGTTTCGTGAGGCTGCTGTTGTCCTCCACCTCCTCTGTCACCTCCTCCATCACCGGCCGTTAACGGCGAGGTCTCGGTGGCTCATTCGGGCCTCACCGGCGAGCCGCTGAGCCCGAGTGACACGCCGATAATTCCCTCAGTGTGTCGGTGTGGGTGTCAATAGACGGGGAGGGAGGCAGAGAGGATTACCATTATTGCTCCCCTAAATGACTGTTATTCAGGGGGCTGTTGTTACAGGCCTGTTATTCGGAGCCCATTACATCTGTCACCAAGGTGCAGAGGGGGAACGTGTAAGCCTCGGTCCAGCCCTCAGACTCCCCTCGCAGGTTTAGAAACGCTGATTTCCTCAGAGGGAAAACGCTGAAAGAAAGACTGACCCCAAAAGAGAGGCAGAAGAAAGAACCCCGGGGAGCCGCATCACACGTCCGCCTCAAAACCTCTTCACCACGTTTTAACCAGGCGGCCTTTTATTCACTGCCGCAATCTGACGTTCTTACAGAAAAATAATCTGCCAAGAGATGAGATGATTTTCACCTGTTTCTAATAAATATCATCTCAAATTAAATGTCCTTTTTTTCTGGACACAGATGCAGCAGTCTGCTTGTGTCTGCAGCTTTGAGATACAGGCAACATTACTGACAAAATAAATTCCAGAAACAAGAGAACGTGCGCTGGGAACAAGAGAGATTATCTCAGACCAACTGGCAGAATTCGCTCTTGTTTGGAAAAACAGAAACACGTTTTTGAGGCCAGATGTGAGAAGAAATGACTTGTTCATAAAGAAATGCGGAGCTGAAGTGGAAACAGTGAGAAACATCATGTAGTGACTTACAGAAGCTCAAAATTCTCATGTTTTCTTCAAACAGCCTGAAAAAGGCCCACTGGTTGAGATAGCTTTATGTTTCCAACACTAATCAATCAATAGTTTCTCCTTTAAAGGCTCATTTCCTCCATTTTTACTGCAGAGATCTGCTTTGTTTCTTATTTCAGGATGCGAGCACCAGTTTCTTAAAAAAAAAAAAAAAATCCTGATTATTCGACCAGAACGGTTGAATTAGATTAGATTAGACTTTTAAAAGTCAGAAGCCTTTTTGTAAGCTTAACCTTGTCCTGAAATGTTTTATTTTCTCAAAATGAGCAACACAAACAGCCATCAGTTTGAGATAATCTCATGATTCTGAAACAAATCAGTTTATTTTAACAATGATTGTGTGAAGCTATCTGCTCTGGTTTCTCTTATTCCTGAAAGAACAGAAGCTGCACAGAGAATAAGATTGATTTTCTGGTGTTATAAGAAACTGAAGCAGGTTTTTAAGTTGGAAATCGGAGAAAATTTTCACCTAAATCCAGTGAAGGAGTCCTAAAATGTTGTGTTCTCCTAAAACAAGCCCCAAACCGCCATTAGTTTGACATCATTTCATGTTCCCGGATAAATCAGCGTGTATCAGTAGTTTTCCTGAATCATTTTCTCGACACGGATGCAGAAACAGGATTATTTTGTTTCAGAAAACCTTCCTGAGAGGAGGGAAAGCTGAGAACAAGAGGGATTATCTCAGCCCGCCGGCAGAAAAGCACGTTTTTAAGGCTGAATATGAGACCAAGTGACTTGTTAAGTGGGATTTTGTTTGCGGCGGACAGACAGAGTGTGAAACGGCGGCGGAGGCCGGTGTGTGAGTGGGTCAGGAAGCTGAAACACTGCACTGGGCTGTGAGGAATGTTGGTATGTGGCTGCAACGAACATCCAGAGCCGCCAAGCTGCAGATCCACTGTGGAATGTGTGTGTGTGTGTGTGT